ATCCCCAGGACCCAAAGTTTGAGCGTTTATCTCATGAGCCTAATTTCCGCCCACCTGTTCTTCCTCGATTAAGTGATCTTATAATTCCAGCTCAATATCACGAATCTTGAGATCCTCCATTTTTGATTATTTCATCTTAGATTCAAATTTCTGAAACATTCAGTTGTCCTTTATTCAATGCATTAATTAATGTTCAAGTAATTCACTGGTTTTGTTGTTTTAATGACTCTTTCAATCAAATCACAAGCCTCGTCATTTATTTTACCACAATCCTCGTCGTCCTTGCTTGTGGTTAGGCCAGACTGCTGCAGATGGCGTTGTGGAATGCCACTCGAGTGAACGCCATCTGCATTCAATATGTCTGCCTCTTCACTCACTAACGACCCATAGGAAGGCCCTGCAGTCTGCAAGCCGAGTTACATATGTGCGCTAATTAATCTCTTCACAGTGTCAGAAAGAGGCGTCACACAGAGAGTTTTCGGCTACAACAAGCCGGTATAGGCCTGCTACCAAAACAAGAGCTTCCGATAATAATTTATGATTCGCTTTCCCTTTAAATGCATCTCTTCGCCAGAAACTATACAGGGTGTTCCACTTAACGTAAAACCCTGCACTTCAGAACGCTGTAGCATCTGCAGCGAGCAAGCGAGCTGCCGGGAAATGAATTAGTCACAGCTCGAATGCCAGTAACTGGGTCCCGAGTTGGGACACCCTGTATTAATCGCATTTTTTTTTTGTGAAGGATACTGTGGTAGCAAAGAAGTAGACTCAATTATTTCAGATCCAGTATTGTCCATACTACCCTACAGCAATATAAAAATGGCGTATTATCAAGACGGAATATGTTAATGTTAATTAAAACAAATTAAACATACAGGGTCATCGATGACACCCATGCGATCAGGAAATCTCTTTAGCTCTAATGGCGTGTCAACAATTCGCCTGACACCTTGACTGCTATATGATGATGATGATGATAAAGATGGCGGCGGAAATTAACCATTGATTTCCTTCCCTTAAAACGTACTTCTATATATTCCAAAGTGTTGAGGTTACGCTCGAACGAACGGATTTAAGGCAAAACGTAATAACTAAAATTGTAATAAAGGAATGGATTTCATCCGAATATTTCAGAATTCATTACTACAAGACGTCTTTTTTTTAAAAAAAAAAGTGAGGTGGTTCTACGGACGCACTGAATTTCCATAAAGTTTACGGAATTGATTTCATCAGTGCCTTAAAACTTCATTGATTTTAAGATATGGACGAAAGACTTTTTAAAAATTGTTTGGTGTAGGCTCACAAAGAGGAAATGAAATAGGGAGAGAGACGAGTGGTTTGTAAGAATGATGTTAAACGATTACAATGTTCATCCCTTCAGCTCGGGGAGCCGTGCCTATGAATGTAATCTTTGGAATAATTACGTTGACCTACGTTTTCATAATAAGCAGCCCCTGTACAAGCGTCGAATATAAGCAGCCCCCCCCCCTCCCTGTTTTCTCGACTTCATATTAGCCTATTTTCGTAAAGGCGGAAGAGGTATTCAGGTACCTGCCTCCATTTTAATGAAATCTGCAATTTAGATTAGGCGGTAGTTCGCAGGTCAGGGGTTGTGTAAGCATATCTGTAGAAGGGGATGGGGGCGAGGGGGTGATGTTGGCTTCAGCGTTGCATATTTAGGATCGCGCTAGCTTCGGAAGACAGCGCCATTACCGCCTGCTTCGTGAACTAAAGCATGAAAAGCCCGTCTTGAGAAAAGTGCGTCTTGGGTCCCGAAGCACTGAACGACGTGTGTGATACAAAACATTTGGAGACATTAACAGGGCATTTTCAACGCCTCCGCCGACTGCACACGGACACGATCCCGTGTTTACCCACGGCGAATTACACCTTTATTCTGGATGTTGCGTGTTCGCGCCTCGGACCTGGTTTTCCTCGGTCACTCCAGGGAAGTAAGTCTGAATCGCTTCGAATTCAATCTTTTAAAATCTCAAACAAAAATGCCCATTCGACTGGCCAATGTAACTCGTACACGACTGAAAGTGTTGTTCGGTTCTACGTAACTTTGCAGTTCATTCAGCGTTGCGTGCAAGTATGTATTATGAAACCGGCTTTTCCTTTCCGTTCCCTTCTGTTCACATTAACAATTGACTGGCTTCTGTCAGGAATCCATTTGCGGTTTGATGCATCGAGCGAAATATTTGGTAATCACACGTGTTTTTCGTCACGGAAGACACGTGTGAGGTCATAGACTTATTCCACGCAAGCTAAATGCTCCGCCAATGACATCGTCCTCGATTTGATCAACCTAGCTATATTTATTGAACAGTACAAATCATGCAATCGCGACGAAGAGAGTGCTGACCGCGGTAAAACACTGACTTCGCTGGTGGTTTTTTTATCCAGGCTTATATAACGTGACACCCTCATCCTCGTTTACCCCCCAGTCCGTGAACACGTGTCTCCGAAATCCATTTCATGGAGTCTTCATGTACGAGAACTCTATTTGGTCTCTCTCTCTCTCTCTCTCTCTCTCTCTCTCCCTCTCTCTCTCTGCCATCTTCTGCCCTTGGTTCAGTCTTCAACTTCTAGTTTACAAGA